ATCTGGTGTGCTGGCCGCTCCTGTTTGGAGATCACTTTCAGTCTCTCCTTTTCCGTGAACTGGAGAGAGACGCTGCCTCACTGGGAGTATAGACCGTCCCGGCCTTGACTCAGCTGTAAAGAGTAGCTGGATACAGGAGCCACCTGAGGGAGGTCAGGGCCTCGGAGCAGTTCAGAGGAATGATAGGGGGCCGCAGGCCTGTGCAACCAATATATATGCACGGGACCTGTTTAGCATCCCAGGCAGGACACCAGACATCCGCCCACAGCAGGTCTGGATCAGGTGCCCTATCTTTATTGCTATGAGATGGACATTATTAATGCATGACCTCCTGTACGGTTCTTAGAATCAGGGCAGAGGACTTCAGAGATCGCCTAGTTCAAGGGGGGTTGGGGTCAGCTGCCCGGAGGGTCTCAGAGCAAAGTTATATGCCGGAGCAGGACCAGACTCACTGCTTTTTAGAGGAGCAACCAGGAATTTCCCAGATGCAAAGGTCTGACGTTGTCCTAAGGATTCACTCAGAGATAGCTGTCATCCTCCGCTTGGCCAGAAGAGGGCAGATAGTTGCCATGGATGGAGGGGGAGAGCCACACATCGTTTTTAGGCTGGAATACCATCTCCTTGTTATGGTCATTCTGCTTTAATGAGTTGCACTCAAAACAAAATTCTGACCCTTCTGGTGCAAATATGCTACTCAAGGGACAGTGAGTTCAGAGACTGAAGATCTCTTCCTAGTCCCAGCTTTGTCACTTCACCTCTCTGAGCCTCATTCTGTAAAGTAGGGTCTCCACTATGTGACTGTCAGGAGGCGGTATTAGGGGTAATTATGTAAATCACAGAGCTCCACATTTCAAAATACACATGAAAAAAAGGAGTTTACTAGCAACGGGGTGTGTGTGTGTGTGTGTTTGTGTAGAAGAAAGCTGGACAAGGGAGAGAGGTTGAGGCTATGAGAGGCTTTTCTGGTGTCAGGTGAATATATATTATGTTCTCAAGCAATTGAAACCAACTCATTATACACTTGGAAAAGACTTAACTACTTTCACTTGTTTCAAATTGTACTTATTTTAAAAGTTAAAGATATGCTTTATCTATTGAATATGTGTGTGAGGAAAAGTACCACAGGGTTATATGTAAAGTCCTAAATTTAGGTGGAAAATATGGCTGAATGCAACAGAAGTGCTTGTGAAATTTTACATGGTCTTGAGAAGCAATAAAGATGTGGATTTTTTTTTAATTTAGTGCTATTTTCTTTAGACATTAAGCCCTAGTAGGAATATTATGCTCACATTCATCTGCGCTAGCCAGAGCAATACTGCCGTCTTGAGCACCATGTTTTGGAGCAATGAGGGACCAGAATGCAGGTAACAGGCAGGCAGCCTGAGGGAGCAGGCTGGAAACCATGTCTGGAAGGGAGGTTGAGGAACTGATATGTGGCTCTGGGGAAGAGCCACCCAGACTGTGGGAATGAGTTCGGTCAGAAGAAGAGGGTCAGAGTCACAAAGGGAGGTCTGGTCTCAACCCCGAAGGGCTTCTTGAGGACTGAAGCGAAGCGCATGGTCACAGACACGAGAAGCTCCAGGCGCTGGACAGTTCCAGGGGTGCCTGGCAGACCCTTTCGATGTCAGGAGAAATGGGGCTGCTGAAGCAGGTTCAGAAGCCAACGTACCCTATGCAACCTAAATGGTCACATACCAAAGCGGGCTGGGCGAGAGCGAGCTAGCACGAGCCAGAATGGTTCCTGTGGCAAAAGAGGGTGAAGGGCCCTGAAATGCAGGGGACAAAGGCACCGTCTCATAAAAATCAGACGCACCGGCAAATTAAGCCACATCAATGGCACTAACGCACCCTGATGATCAATGTCAGCAAAGTCTGCTTGAATCAAAAAACAAAAAAACAAGGGGCTACCAAAGAATTTATTTCCATAGCAGTCAGACAACGACTGGGGTTAGCTGAGGTGTGTCACCTGCTCACACATGAACCCTCCCCAGTTAAATTCCCATACCGTGCTAGGCACTTTTTAGGGGGCTCTGTGTATTTTCTTTGGAGGCACAGGGATGATCCCTCAGGCTTCACCATGGTTGAGATATTATCTCTTTCTTCTATTTCCTCTTTTAAGCCTTTATGGTCACCCTGCAATAGGAAGGAAGAACATGTTTGAGATGATGGAGCCACGGGTATGTGCATGCTGTGCTGTGAAGGACTGTATGGCAATTGTAGTTTCCTGACATTCCCCAATGAGATCAGTCAGCCTCTCAGAGCCTGATCACTTTGAAAGAGTTGATGGAACACTTCTAGAAATGCCAAGATGGGGATGAGACCTGAGACCAATCCTCCGTCAGAATTTCTTTCAACCGCCTCACAAGTACCTGCCAGGACCCCAAGGGTGTGACTTCCAAGGGCTCCACCTATTTTGAGAGATGGGCTAAGGACTCAGGCATCAGATTTGTTCAAATGCTTTACCTCAGTTATGGGAAAGATTAAAACCACCTGGAGGTTGCAAGGGGAACCGGTTATTTCATCATGGACATTTTCTTCCCTGATGGGGACAGTGTAGCAATAACACTTAGTGAATACTCAATAGGTTGACCAACATAAAACTGATTTTGTTTTCAATTTGGAATAGCAATGGTATTTTATTTATTTGTTGAATATATTGGCGAACTCAGATTTTAAAAGCAGATCAATTGGAAAAATGTTATGCTTTCCTGAACATTCTTCAAACCTACCTGAAAAGTTTTAGGATGATTTGTAAAACTGGTATACATGGCCAATAATTACATGTTTTGGTAAGTTGATGGTCCTTAATAAAGGCTTTTTCTCACCTCTTGAAGAGTTTCTTGAACGTCCCACTGATTGAAAATAGTGGTGTTCCGCCTGCATTCTTGAAACTCAGAACTTTTTTAGCAGATTCCCAACAGCCACTTCATGTTTGTCGAGAAGACAGAACACACAGTGAGGCAAACTGCAACCACTGCTGGACCTCAGGTTTCTCCTCCAAGATCTACCTGTTATTTCTCTCTAGTCTCAAGATGAAAATGTCGTTTCACTCGTTCAAAACTAACTCACCAGCTTGTGTCTCTGATCCCAAACCTCTGACCCACCTCGACTTCAAGGCAGCTCTCACCCCTCGGGCCCGCCAGCTCTACCCGTAGTTCTCCCCCCAGACCGCAAGCCGTACGCTTTCCCCGCACTCTGGCTCCTGTGGGAGCAACAGTCCTCTCTTTCTTCCCCAACATGACCGCCCATTGACTCTGCTCCACCTCTAACTTGTGCTCTTGCCACTGGCGAAGGTCACACACATACAAACCACCAAATCCAACAGCTTTTACTCAAACCTTAGATGCAGTTGAACCTCTCTGGAGAGCTAAAATTTTCCCCCCTGTGAATCTGGGTCTTTCTCTGGCTTCTCTGACAACTTGCATTCCCTGAGTGATTGACTTCATTTTCTTCCTCTCACCTATGAAACGAGGCCGGGCCTGGTTCACTGGTCTTGCCAGTTACCCTCCTTGAGGCATCCATGCTCTGCCCCAGCTGTGCTTCTCACTCCCAGGATGATGGCTGCCCAACCTCCTGCCTGAGTTTCACCTTTCAGCTGTTAGCTTCATTTTTACAAGGACGTGGCTCTTAAACCCCAGCCCAGGTAAACCCAAATTCATCATCTTTCCCATTGTGGTAGATCTTTACTGATGGTTTGCTCAGCTTAAAATGGATTTTCTGCTCTTTGGAAACTGACCCCAATCCACAGGTAAGCCCCTAGCAGCCATTTAACTTGACTTTCTGATCACAACTGATTGGCACAGGGACAGACACCTGCCTGGGGCTGAGCCACTCACAGACTCTCTCGTAGACCTGAAGTGAGGCAGACAAAAGATTCGGGCTGCTTGTCCATGGCACTGCTCTACAGCGAAGGGCCAGGGAGTCCTGGTGCAGGAGTCCCTTAGAGCCGACTGAGTTCCTAACCTTTCTGGTTAATTAGACTCTTCCGTGGATCCATGATCTACTCTAGGAAAGTTCTTGTAAAGTTCCTTTTTTAGCTAAACTTGCTGCAGTTGGCTTCTTCTACACACAGACCTGTAAGTAATAGGCCCACAACACTTCTTCAGGACTTAATTCTGTTGAGGGCCCTACCATTCTCTCACTTTGTCATATCCAGAACTCTCAAACCTCCTCATTATTCTCTCCTACCGACCCCCTCCATTCCATGTTCTCAACTCCTGCCCTGATTCCAGCCTCTGTGGTGTCTCCGCCAGGCTCATTAAGCTTCCTCGTGCTCCAGTAGTAATTCTGATCATCACTTCCCTGCCTGAAACCTTAGGCTGAGTCATACAGCTCCTACCATAGCATTAAAAACCCTTCTCATTCTGGCTCGTGGTGCACAGGGCCCATCTTCTGCTATTTCCAGTCCTTCCATGTGTAAGCAGGTCAGATGACCAGACTTAGCCAACCATCCTCTGTCCTTTGCTTCCTCCATGATTTCTGTACTGCTGTTCCCCTTGCTCTCTGGCCCTGGTAAAATCTTACTTCCTCTTCAAGGCCTATCTGAGGTCCTTTCCCCAGCTCCTTAGGAGAAACCCTCCCTACATCCTCTAGGACAGGAGATCCTTTGCTGTGTTCTAAGTTCACCTTCCCTTCCAGTCTGTGGCACAGGCTGCATGTAGCTCCTGGCACCACAGTGGTTGATCAGAGGGTGGATGGTGAGGGCATGGGGATCACACATCACCACACATTCACCAGGATAGGAAAGGGTCTGAGAGAACAGCCAGAGCCAAAGTACTTCCTCTGTCACTGTGTACCACAATTTTAACCAAGATCAGGGAAAAGAAAGCATTTGGGCTACTGAATGGATGAATTAAATGGACTGTGCCCCAGGGCTCTAGGCATCAGTGTCTGAAAAACAGAACACTCACGAAACTGTATTTAAACTCCAGGAAGAAAACATTTATATGACTTAAGAGTATCAAAACCATTTCCATAAACATTAAATGAATTAACGGCACTGCAACCCATGAGGCAGTTTAAGTTTATTAATGCCAGCTTGCAGGTGAGGGAACAGCCAGGTCAGATGACTTCAACAAGGTCACACTGGTAAATGACAGACCTTTGTCAGGAAACTTCACACCTAGTATTCTCTCTGTGAGACCATGCTGCCTCTCCAATGGCAGAGCTAAAACAGACAGGTTCCTTGGGAGATAGAAGTAAGGTGTGTGAGTGGGGAGAGTATCTCCTTTTAAATCATGTAACTTTTTCCCCCTAACCTTGCTGCTGTCCGTGTAAGCATTCACTGCTAGCCTAGGGAGGTCAACCACCCAGTACAGAGAGTGTTGCCTTATTTCCGGAAATAGCTACCTCCCCCAAACACTGACTTGATGGCAAATATTTTAATTTTTATGAAGCTATTCCCCCAGCCCATAGAATCAAGGTGAAAAGAAATTTACATGTAGTGTACTGGTGGAGCAAAGAGGATGACGTGTGCATACACACATCTGCGTGTACATACAGGTTTATTTAAATGATCGCATCTACACGCTTGGAGGCTGTTTGAAGCATCTTATCAAAAGAAAACACATTTTAAGCAAAAGGTTAAAAAGGCTTTTCAGACCCAAAGGTCATTTAATACAATAAACCCTACTTGGGTAGTTCAGCAAACATTTCTTTAAAACCCACATCCAACAGACTGGTTAGCATTGGATATACAGATTTGGTTTCAAAGCTGAAATGCCCCTGGTGCAATAGACGTTCTCATGAAATTCAGTTATTTTATATTATGTCATAAAAAGTAGGGATACATATCTATTGACAACTTAAATATTAACACAATAGGCTACTTGGTGATATAAATAGGAAAAAAAAGTGGTCATGGATTAGGAGTCAGAAGTCTATGACATCAGCCTATCTTGGACTGCAGAGGATGTTAAAATCTCTCCTAGAACCTAAAACAGGAAAAAAAAGGCAAATATTCCAATCCACACAGACCCCATCTGGCCCAAACCATCCCCCCAGGAGTCCACCCCCAACACATGAGATTTACTAACCACCTGCTACAGATGTTACTATGTCACTAATTAACAATGATCACAGAAAATGTGTCATACCAGAGGCTTCCTTACCATACACAATGCATTAGTGGCTGTAATAATCCTTCTCTAAGAGCTACACTCAGGAGGCAAACTGACAGCTGGTTCAAGAAACCCCAGCTCTTGAGACACGAGCATTTGTTTGCACATTGAGCTCTCTCTGGCACGCCCCCCACTCCCATCAGAGGGGTTGCGATGTGGGGGCCGGTCCCAGCCAGGTGCTGCCCCCTCCTACTCCTGGGCTTCCTTGCGTGTCAACTTGTAGATCTCAGTGGGTCCATCCACGTGGGTGATAGTGGTGGTGAGCTGCAGTTCTTCCCCACTGTGGACACCCAGATCACCTGAAACAGGGTTTTGGTGTTAGATGTGTTCAGGGAGGAAGGAGAACAAAGCTGGGATTCATCTTAGGAACCACCGCCCCAACACCAGCCCTCCTCCACATTCTGAGTGTACAGAGAAGACCGGGGAAAAACACCTGGGTGAACTCCCAACCTTCTCAATCCGACTTTGTAGTAATTTCATAGCATTTTTGTCTCCCGGAGAAGAGTTATGAATGATAGATGAGTCAGCTTAATGCATTTAATGAGAACTTACTTTGTGCCTGATGCTATTCTCCATGCTCTGTAGGAAACTATTTAATGCTCTCAAGAGCGCTCTGTGGCAGGCACTCTGATCATGCCACGAGGAACCCTGAGGGGCATGAGGTGCTGGCCCACGTGGAGGGGCGGACACCTCGGAGAGCCGGGGAACCACGCTGAGGAAGACAGGTGGCCTCCCAGGCCCACGCTCTGTGCTAAGCCAGTGGCCCGTGATGGGAGGGTGAGGACTCACACTTGCTGAGTAACTGACAAGCGGCTGCACCACATGGAGGCAATCAAGACTTAGGTGTGTTTAACAACAGGCCAGGCAGGTACTCCACGTAATGCACTGAGGAATAAGTAGGGCATTTATTCTGGAGGGAAAAAGTGTCAGCCATCTGCTCTGGATTTTCAGCTGTCCCCAGGCCAGAACACCACCAATGGTTTGGGCCCATCATCATAGACAGAGGAATTCCTCTACTAAGATGGAATCATGTGGCCTTTTCTCAACTAGCGGGGAAAGGTATGTTTCTGTAAATTAACCATAACTTAGAGCAAAGCCTTGGCCATACACTTAAAACTAATATCCTGTCACTAGTTGAAGAATTACTAGCCACGAGGCATCTGAGGACCTCAGGAGTCGCCACATACCGGTCTCACAGGCTGCTTGGCTGGTGCCCTTCCCACATGCCACATGGTATTAGACTGTCATTGTAGACCCATTTCTCAGTGGCTGTGCAGCTGAAACAGTCTTACTATTAAATGCTAGTCTCAGCAGCAGGGACATTAGCTGTTGCAGAGGACAACCAATGGCATTTGGGGCTGTTTTGGCAAGGGTCTGGCCCACAAGATTGGGGGCAGAGCAGGTGCTAAGGGGAGTTTCAGTCCAGCCTCCAGCAAGGCTCGCCGCATCCAGCCTTGGGCCAGGGCATGGACCCATGGGGGCAGAGGCTGCTGAGACGCTCTGCCAGGGCCACCTGGGACCAAGCTGGACCATCGCTTGTGCAATGAGCAAGTTTTCTCAGGCCACTGACTCTCATTCTCACTGCTGCAACTTCGAGTTCCCCTCTCAGTCCAAGCATGTGTATAAGCCTCAAGTTTCTTGGTCAAAGCTAGCTCTGGATTTGCATATCTGAGCGAGCTGTCAAAACTTCAAGGCCAGTTTCATGATCTGCCTGTCTGTGTGAGCCATCAAAACTTCAGAGAATTTTTACGGATCCCTCCAGTAGACCCATAACACCTCCAAATGTTTACCTAAAGGATCCCTTTCACTTTAGACTTACTGAAAAAGATACCAGAATCTAATTCCAATCAGGTTTTGAACCCACGATGCTAATTCTTTAAACTTAAAATGTGATTCTAGTTAGCAGGTCCTAGAAAATGTGTATGATCCATTAGCCAAAATTACTTTGGCTTCTTTATTTGAACAGGTACCTACATTAGAGTGCTATAGAGAGTGCTGACACCAGGCTAAACACTTTACAAAAATTAATGCATTTAGTCCTCACACCAGCCCTTTGACAGAAGTACTAGTGTCATCATCCCGTTCTATTGATGAAGAAACTGAGGCACAGAGATTAAGTAACTTGCCCAATGCCCAGATAATGATGTAAGATTCAAACTGGAGCAATGAAGCTCCAGAATTCAGGCTCTCAACTTTTAGGCTAACCTGACTCTTTGTAAATATTCTAATTTCCAACAGCCAATGAGAGAGCCAATGAATGAGTTCACATGCAATGAGTTACAGTCATATACATATGATAATTTGAATGAATTGTTCAGCAAATTAATTCTGCTTTTGTACCTGATGAAAGAGAATTTGTAGCACATAGTATATCAGTGCACTGACAATAAAGCGACCTATTATTTAAGGGTATTTATCATATGCACTATTAGGAGCTCAGGATGCCGTGTATTTCCTTGTAAGATAGGAAGACACTGAAGCTCAAATAGGTGATCGATTTCTGTAATGTGACCCAGCTCGCTGCCGGCAGAGCTGGGACAAGGACCCAGATCAATGCATCTCTGCCTAACAAAATCTATACTTGAAGTGTGCTTTTAATGTACCTTGAAGGCCAACTTTTGTCCCTTAGGAATGAATATGGGGATGTGGAAGTAACACAGCAGGAGTGGGGGGGTCCCTCCATGTATCTCCAAATTCCATCAACTCCTACTTCTGCCAAGGTCTTGCCCCATCTGTTATCTTCTTCTCTCTCAGTTCCTGCTGCTTAGCGCACAAACGTGCTCAAATTGTTTCCCACGTAAGACAAAGAAAGCAACCTTTTTGAAGATGTGGTATGTTCCTTATTTAGGAGAGGAGAAGAATAAAAGGGAAAAAATTAAGAAAGGTAAAGAAAATAATTCTTCAGTTTGTAGTAAGTCTCCTTCTCTGGTAATGATGTCAGTTCATCTCAGCTAATGAACAAGAAGATTGTTTCTTTCTGACCACTGCAAAATGAGACCCATCTCTAGCATTAGATTTAATCTCAAAGGGCTATCAATGGGCCCATACCTATGGTATCACACCCTCAGGATGCTGCTGCTGCTTGAATCTAACTGCCTAGAATGCATTCTGGGGACACAGAAAGCTATAGAAACTGCACTCTAATCAAATAACGGTAACCACAGCTTCGTAAGACTGGCAGCATTTAATGACAGTCATTTGTGTATATATGACTACTTGAACAAAAAGAAAGAAAATTGCTAGGCTAATTCCAAGACTGTTTCACAGAATTTGGGAGAGGCCAGGGGTCCTGAAATAGTCATGAGGGCTACCTACTTATGCCCTCATAACCACCAAGACAAATGAACACTCCATTACCCAGACATGGAAGCCAGACAGCTTCCACACCATGAGATCCTATTTATTCCTTGAGGTCCTGCACAGTACTTATTGGAGCCAAGATTCCAAAATTTATGTGTGTCTACCTCCAAAATTCATGCTCTTTCTTGACTTTACTCTTCTCTGTGGGTGTTTCTTCTAGTCCTATCCTGACCTCCTCCTACTCACCCTCAAAGCTAAGCTCAAGTGATAACTCTCTGTAATGAGTTCCTTGATTCACAGCAGAATGAGAACAAAGAGTGTAGTCTTTGTAAAGCTAAATTATTTCTATGCACAGGGCTGTTGTTTACTCAAAGGTTATGTCCTTCCTATATTTTGGGTGGTAATAAAAAAGTAGGTAGTAAATTTTTTAATCTTTTACATTTTTCTAAAGAATGTAAGTAGCCAGAACATTATCTGGTATGTCATAGGTGCTCATCAAAACACCCAAGACCTGCCTGGTACAGGCCAGTCCAGACCCTCTCTGTTCTACACTGACCAGCTCCAGGCCCCAGCACTGGTGTTCTGCCCTGGGGTTTAGGAACAAACCCTCAGCTAGAGAACAGGGATGCCTTAGGATGGCTTGGCTTTTGTGATCCCCTGGTGGATGGAGCAAGTGGTTTTGGGGGTCCAGAATTTAGGAAACCTGGGTCCAGCTATTTCTCAAATCTTTTCAATCATTTAGGTAGTTTATACCAGGGTTGGGATGAGCCATTTCCCATCTACCTCCAAAGTACCTCTAGACACTTACTTAGTACAAGGATGTGGACACAAGAAAACCCAGAACTTTTGAGTGAAATCTTAGTATTATGGGCTGAATTATAACCGCCAAACTGACTTGTTGAAATCCTGTTTCCTGGCACCTCAGAATTTGACTATATTCGGGGACCGAGTCTATAAAGAGGTAATTAGGTTAAATAAAGTCATCTGGATGGGCCCTAATCCAATATGACTTAGATATTTGTAAGAAAAGGAGATTAGGATGGTACACAGAGGTGAGACTATGTGAAGATACAGGGAGAAGACAGCCAACTATGAGCCAAGGACAGAAGCCTCAGGAAAAAACAACCTTAATGATACCTTCATCTTGGACTTTCTGCCTCAAGAATTGTGAAAAAAAACAAATAAATTTCTGTTGCTTAAGCCATCTCGTCTGTGGTATTTGTTTCAGTAGCCCTAGGAGGCAGAAAGTTCCTCCCAGGGAGGTGACAGGGGTACCTCCTATCACAGTGGGGTGACAGTCAGTCTAAGACTCAGAAAACATGAATTTCACTGCCTGGGCAAGGGGAGATGAGGTCAGTGGAAGGACAGCAGCCCTGGGAGAGGCAGGAGGCAAAAGGTGCCTGACTACAAAGAGCAGAACAGGAGGTGCCAGGCTGCTGATGGCCTGTCACCTGCTTCCGATCTTCATTAGAAAAATGGGAAAAGGCTGCCAAGACCCACTTCAGAGTGTGGGTCCAGCCCTGGTGGTAAGACCAAGTCCATCTCTGCTCACAGACAGCAGGAGGCTAGGCTGGCCACAGGTGGGTCATCTAACACACACCGGGAGAAGACCTCAATAAAAGCCAGCCACTGTCAAAGCCTCATGATTCAAACTAAACATTTATTCAGGCAACAAAAGCCAAAGCCACCTTTCCTGTGAAACAGGCCACAGCAGACCTCAGAAGCCTCAGGGAGTGAAAGTGACACAGTGTGGCAGCCAGCGACCAGGACAGGGCACCCAGGATCAGTGCTCTGGCTTCCAGCAGAATGACTGTGTCAGACACTTAGTGTGAATGGAAATAGAAAGGAGCCGTGGCAATTAGAGTGTCTCCTGTTCCCTTCGTCTCAGTCATCCAGTCAGGAATTCCAACTTCCAGTTTTTTCCTAAAACCTTTGGACAAGAATTCTACAGACAAAAGAACACAAACATGAAAGCTATTATCCAGAACTGTCTGACTTCATAAGCAGATCCAACTTTTATTTTCCACTGGAGCTGGCAACCAAGTGGGTTTGGACGGTGGGCTGTGCACAGGGTGGTGAGGCTATGCCTTTTCTTCAAGCTAAGGGGTAACACCAGCCTGCTGTAACTCAGTTCCACCCGGGAGACACCCATAGCAGTTCACAAAATGGTTATGGAAACTGTTACAAAGAACAACTTCAATGAAAGGGCAACAGGAACAGAGCAGAAAATGGGAATGGTGTGTCAAAGAAAGAGGTCTACACGACCTTAGCTAAATGAAGAAAAATACATAGGCATGATTGTATATGTGTGTACACATACAATATACACTTGAAACATTATATATATATATATATATATATATATACACATATATATATATGTATATATATGTAAAATGATTGATATGAATGTGTTTATACAACCACTGCAGCTGTAAATCAACCAACAATAAAAGGAGCCCAGGCCCCACACCCCTGCAGCACCCAACAGCTGTAAACACATCAAAGCATTCCAGCTCGGAGCTGTGCCACTGCACCCCACAGCTCAGGAGGCCACTGAGGAAGCCCTGTCTTCCAGAACAGCCTCACGGCTCCCTGGGAGCAAGGCCTGTGTCCATGTGATGCCTTTGGGCTCCAAGTTATTCCATCTTATCAAACCTAGCACAATGCCAAGTCCTGAGGTGCTCAGCAATCCGTCTCTAAGGCCACTTTACAAGACACACAATAGAAGAGAAACAAATGTAAGAGAGAAAATGCTCTTTGGAAACTGACCTTCTTTTAAACCTGCCATCCACTTTGTTCCTTTCCATCCACTGCTTGACCAAAAGGGAAAAGCAAAGGTCTATGCTCTTTGCTTTCATTTCCTTCCTACCCACTTCCTCCTGACACTTCTTGGCATCTCTCTCCACCTCCCAAACAAAGCAACCTTTCTCAATGGTTCTTTCTCTTTCTTCAGCCCCTTCAGCCTCTGCTACATCAGCAACTGCTTGCCAAGTTCCCAGAAATAAGCTTTTTCCAGAGGTCCATTCAGGATCCATCCCACGAAAGCAAGAAGCAGCACACACCTGGGAGTCATTCTCCATAGCAAGAGATCTAAATTCTTGGCTCTGGACTGTAAAAGCAAAGGGGCTAGTGGGGGACTGGGAGGGAGCCAATTTACAAATAAAAACGTCCTAGAGAAAGGAGGGAGCATGGAAATGCTTTGGGAGGAGAAGAAATGCCACCCAGAGACCCAGAGAATAAAAATACATATATTTGCGTATTTTACATACATAACATTATGAATCCCCCCCGTAAGAGTTCACTTTCTAGGTTTCCATGTAATATTCCAAACTAGCTCTTTCCAAGCAGCTTCAAAATCTTGGCAAATGCTCCATAATTCCTAGGATACATGTGTGGTCTGGCAGCAGATGAAGAGATGAAAAGTGAGAGGAAAGTGATCAGAGAACCCAGCATGGGAGAGTGCCCTTCCAGATGCAACAGGGCACGGCCCCATGCGGGAAAGAAAGGGCACGGCAGGCTGCCCGGGGCCGCGGGCTGCTGGGAAGTCACAGCTGACCAGGTCATCATTGCAGAACTGTAAAATCGTGTGACTTTTGTGTTTATGGTCAACAGGGTCCCCAAAGATCTTCCACTAAACTGCTTGAATGTTTTTCAACGGGGGCCCCACAGGCATTTGGGGCAGGACAATTCTTTCCTAGAGTCTGTTTTGCTCCTGCAGGACATTTAGCATACCTAGAATCTGGCCAGTAAATGCCAGGGGCACATCCCAGTCATAGAGACAATCCAAAATAACTATGAACATTTCCAAATACTGCTTGGCAAGGGATATAGGGATATGACGTCCTGCTGAGAACTAGCTTTTGAGCTTTCTGTGAAATTATAGACGGAGCTGTCTTCAACAAAAAAATCTGATGGGCAATAGACTGAGGGCTATTCTCAACTGCAAATTTTCCCACCTAGGAGGGCAGCTCTTGTACAGACAGAGAAGTCCTCACGAGAGCTGCCTAACACCTGGCTCACCACTCGAGCATGTGGCCCGACAGGGTGGCAGGCAGTCATCCTGCTTCTGCAGTGTTAGGCTGGCTGCAGCCTGGACTCTCACATGCCTGACGGTGCTGGAGTTAGAAATTCTCCAGTGTTTGGAAACTGACAGAGGCCAGAATCCTTACCTGTTGACAGGAAGTGCTATTCTGCCCCTTCCTTGCTAACCATAGAATTTCATGGTTCCAAAAAGACTTTAAAGAGATCATTTACAGTTGGGACAAGAAAGGTTAAGCAATTTGCCAGTAGTCACACAGCAAAAACAACCAGAAGAGTTTATGTGCATAAAGGGCTGTAGCACACAGTCAGTACTCATTAGCTATTGCCCACTAGTAATATTCCAACATCCCAGGAAGTTCAGTGATTGTTTTATGTGGTATTTCCTGGAAGGTAAGAACTCCATTTACTGGGTTCCTTCCTGCTTAATACTCTCACGTTGAGGACCAGTCCATGTGGTTTTTGTCAAAGTTCAACAGGAAACCATGAAATGAAATCAAGATTCTTGTTCACAAGCCCAGAATCCCTTCCTGATGGCGTTATGGAGGTCTACTATTTGAGAGCTACATGCTCCCGTTTTCCATGCATAAGTAAACACTGAGTGCTAGCAGTGGAAAGAAAGCTGAAAGCTGTCTAGCTCACATGCTCAGTCTCGAAAGGAAGTCAGTCAAACTAAAGATGGGCAGGGGGTAGGTAAGCCAGAAGTCTTTATTCTTGCCCAGGACACATGGTGAAAGACAACCCAAGCTGGGTGTGACAAGAAGTCAAGGAGGAAGGAAGAGAGGCCCAATGTCTAGAATGCTCCTGCACAGATGTGGCAGTGCGGTCCCAGAGACAGACGGTGGGACGGTTGAGACCATCTGACTACCCTTGTCCCTCAGTGGACATGCTTCTCTTCCTGTTCCACCTCTCACGTCATCAACCCTCTCCCTCGGCCCCTCTCTCAAGATTATTGGCCCATCTGTGAAATAGGAAAGCTAACCTTGAATTCTTATTTCTAAAGCATTATTTCACTCAACATTTTCAAACCACCCTTAAGAATCAGCCCTGGCCCTTCTGGAATCAGTGTTCCAGCAGGAGAGAGAAGCCAAAGGCTCACTTATCTACTCCACCTCCACAGTGTCCTGTGAACAGTGTGATCATGTTCCCCAAGGCCTGCTCCTTGGACACTGGTTCCAAAGAATACACTGCCTGGAAAAGGGTTCTAGGGCCAAAAGATTTAATAAATTGGGGAACTACTTACACCCAACCATTTAAAAAGATTCACAATACAAATTAATGTACTAAAGGTATTAAGATATCTTTCACCAAAAACCTCATGAATGCTGATTAAAACCCCAGTGATTCTCAAACTCATCTGACTACTAAAACCTATCAACAACCTATGGCAAGAATGTTCTCTTGAATGTAATTTGATAGATTACAACTGGGGTGATCAGGAATAGGCTTCAAGAAGGGTGAAGCATTCTGAATGGGCCCAAAAGATGCACAGGGTTTCATCAGGCCCAGATGGAGGCAAGTCACAAATCCACTCATTCAACACGCACTCGCTGAGCACCTATCAGCAAGGCCAACCCTCGGTTCCGCAACGCACACGCAGGCCTGAGGGCCCCGGTGTCTGCTCCATGGCAGGGTGAGGAGCACTGGCTCTGATCTGAGAAAGAGCACAGTATATTTGGAGAAAAAAAGAAAGCAGGTGCAAAAAAGAGAAGAAAGAATACGAGTGGAGCCCAACAGTGTGGGGCTAAATAGTTAAAGAACAAGGAGGTATCAGATCAGTTGTCTACCAGGCCACCTATTCCAAGTGAACAGTGTTGCCTAGGCAGTGATATTCCTTTCCTTGGCCATGGCTGGCAGAGGATCCCCCATTCCTTCTGTGGGCCTCAGCTTCTGCATCTATCAGGTGACCAGACTGGCTGAGTTCTCCGAGCACCTTGCAGTATCAGCATCAAGGAGCAGCCAGCACTCGAGGAGAGGAGGGCTATGGGGACAGAAGAGCTACGGGTTTGCTCGCATGCCAACGAACAGTCTTGCAGAGCAATGAGCAGGAGAAAATAAAGGCAGCTCCATCTTCAACTCTGAAGGTCTAACCCCCTCCACCTGACACCTTAGCTAATGCTTCTCAAACTAGAAAAATAAGTGAGACTTATTTTTCGACAATTTTGCTCAAAAAACTGAAAGCAAACTTAAATTTTGTACTAAGACTGGGACACAGGTTAGACTAAAATATATTTTAAAGATTAAAAAATGAGGACTTAAAGAGGTTTCTGCTTGTGCCGGCTTTTCGTCTTAGGGCTCCAGGGTCCCTAGGGGTGCCGACTGACACGTGGAGGGAAGGTCTGACTGGGAGAGCCACTGCCTCTGCTACTTACGTCTTGTAAAGACAGAAGCCCAATTATCCTGAATAAAGCTGCGTTGGAGACTGGAACTCACCATTGGACTGGTCATCCCCGTAGTTCTTATGGGATGGTGCATACAAGAACATCAAGGCAAAGACATACAGGTTCCACATCCCATAGATGCCTGTGAAAAAGGCGCTGTTCACTTGGACTGTGACGCCGCCCCACTTCCAGTGGCCTTCAGTCACCTACAGAAAAAGGACAGTGATGTTCAATTGTTACCAAGATGAAACCTAACACCAACCCAGGAAACTAACCAACACAAAAACCAAGTCTCTTCTACATATGGGAAAAGTAAACAGCCATGAAAGGCTCCATGTTCTAATCTGAATCATACTGGTATGAACTAAGGTTCACTGAGGGCTTATATGTGTTAAGCACAAAGTCAAGTGATTTTCACCTTGCTTGCACATCAGAATTACCTGGGGAGTGTTTCTTCTAAAACAGCAGTGCATGGTTTTCCCTAATCCCAAGAAATTGTATTTGAGTCTAACACTTATCCACAATTCTAATTCTTCCTCTGCTATCAGTCTTCCTGGCTAGATGTAAACTCCCTGTTCTGGTTTATTTACTGCCATATCTTCAGTGCCTGATTCACCACAAGGATGCAATGAAGAAAGGATTTAATAAACAAATGAATTCTTAGAGGGAGCAGTTTTCCTTAGTGGGCAGCATGGGGAAGCAGAAAGGAGAGGGCTGAAGTCAGAGATGCAGATTCAAATCCAGGCTCCATTGTTCTGCTTAGTCTAAGAGAAATATGATTAAGACTCTGAACTTCAGTTTCTTTAAGTGCAAAACAAAACCTTGTGGGGTTACTGAGGAGAATTAGTAAATGTATTTCTAGAAATTTCCTCTCCTGGCACCCAGTAAATGCTCAATAAATCTTATTTATATAATGTCACACTCTATGGAAGTCACTTCTGAAGGAATTATGTAGCTTTCCTATGCTTTACAATTCAGCAAGCATGTTCTGAGCCTGCTTTTGTCTGCGTTGATGATTTGGTAATTGTTTTAAGGGCTATCTGATGACATGTGGATATGCTAAGAACTGTCAACAGAACCTAATGAGCCAGTGCACATAATACTTTGTGCTAGCTCTGAGATCAATGAAAGGATTTTGACCACTTCTGCTTGCAACAGGAAATCTTAAATGGGAGTAAAACAAAGTATTGGACAGATGCTCCTGTGATCACCTAATGAAGCTGTGTTATAGAAGCCATCTCTAGAAGGCCTTTCTTCGAGGAGCTGCAATGTGAAATGGCAAACGACAGCTCAATGTTATGACTTTAACAAGCAGGTTGATTTCACCTCCTGTTTATGAGGTAGTACATCTATATTAATTTGGTGCTCTCGTTATAACCCATCACTCACTAGGGCTCCAAGCATAATAAAGCTTTAAGTATAGGAATTTCCTTTTGAAAGACCCAGGCTGTCACTTAACCAGGTTAGATGGTTATAAACGCATCAGTTTTGGTGGACCCTTGATGCTACACAAACTTTCATACACAAACCAGTATCATCACCTCTTATTTAAAATGATTTACTTTATGCGACATGCTCAGGAATGTTTTTTGCAAAGGATTCCATAAGCATCACTGATTTTAGAACAATGTACCAGCACTGAAGCTACTTAGGTTATTTCTTAGAAGTGAATCACTCTTCTTAAGTACAGAACATCCGAACTTTATAAAAATTACAGTATTTAGAACATATGTAAGATGACTTTTAATGCACATAATGCAAGTGGAGAGGAAACCTTAAGATAGTTCCTGGAAATATATGTACCTGCTGTCATAACAAAGGGGGCTCTTTTGTATATAATTAAGGAGGGGAGGCTAGGTCGGGTGAACTATAGGTAAGATGAGGAAGGCAGTTCTTATTTTCTTCAGTTCTGTTAAGGCAGTGGGCCCCCCAGCTATAGGAAGGGCCTGTAGGAGACCCTACTTCCTGTTACATAAGCTGGGAATACTAAGTATTGCCAGTTTTGCTGAAATTGATCCTTGCTGGGATGGGCAAGACTGATCTAAGGAACACCCACCTGCAGCCTGGTACACAATGGTATTCAGCAGACAGATGTTTGTTGAATGAATATGGGCAAAAGTACAGGGACATGTAGGAATGCCAGTGCAAAAATACATGGACAGAAACAGTTAATCGTACGAATATCTGATTGAAAAGTAAAGAGAAAATACTGAGGTCCTTAGTAAATCATAATAATGACACTTACAGGGAAAAGGTCAGTGGGTAGTATTATTTCATTTACACATCACTCCCGACTGTATTTCTTTATTATCACTTAAAGTCAATAATTAACATGGACATTAACAAAGCTAAGACTTTTTGAAATAATAACAAGGATATATATAATAGTTAACACTTACTCAATGCTAATGATGTGTGAGGCGCCATACTAAGAATTTTACATGGAAGTTATTATTTAGTTTTAATAACAACTCTATGAGGTAAGTAGGTAGGCAATACTTATACCCAACAAATGGGTGAACTCTGATGCAGGAAGGTACATTATCCTGCCAAGATTGCTCAGCCAGAAAGTCATGGCTCTGGTTCCAAGAGGCATTCCTAAGCATTTATTCAAGAATAGGAATATTATCATAAATATGATAATTCTTGCAACAAGGAATCTTAAATGGGAGTAAAACAAAGTATTAGACAGATGTTTAAATGGGAGTAAAACAAAGTATTGGACAGGGTGAGTCTCTTAAATTAGCATATGAGGCAACTATTGTATAAGGTCAAATTTCCTTTGAAAATTCACTTAACTGACCTAATGCACTACATATATGTAATATGTACTATATGTAATATGCAAAGCATGTAATATATATATATATATATATATATATATATATAACATTATGATCTATTATGTGAACTATGGACAGTGTACACACACAGGTTTGTATATTCAAATCCATATAGTAATATATGTGCGCTATGCATCTAGATACAGTGATGTATGATACACCATAAACTGGATATATGCAAAATACAATTTTACAGTAGAACCATACAATGGGGACCACATAGGCACTGAGACTGGCTGAGGAAACAGCAGGTTCATGCCCCCATTTCATGTCTGCTTTGAAACATATACACGTTGTTTAAAATCGTGTTGCAGAATTACCCATACTGATTAATTTGTAATCTCTAAATGTGTTATTTCCTGCTAAGGGCAAAGAATTGAATTTGCGTAAATGAACTGTACACATAGTATCATTGTACTGTTGGGAGACTCTTGTTTTCCCCTCTTGTCTCTCAATTATTCATGCCTAATACATCCTGAAGTGGGCACATTCCCACCAATACGTACCACAATAAGCCGCCTTGACACAGCAGGCCTTGTAAATCCAAAATGTTATTAATGCCAAGGCAGAGAGGAGACAGGCACCCCCATTTAGCTTTCAGAGAGAAAAATCAGGTAGCCCCAAACCCCAAACAAAAAGAAAAAAAAAGAAAATCATCTCCTCCCTTCTGCGTAAGTCTTATTTCTGAAAGTCCCTGTTTTTCCTGATCTAACATTTGAACAATTTACTTTTGTGTGAAACCACCCAATTATACCCCTGGAGCCAAGTGAAGGTCAAATCCTTTACACCCAGTAGTCTTGACAACCAACATTCCACTTAACAACAAGATTTCCAAATCCTGAACACCGGCTCTCTTACCGGAAACATTTCCTCTGTAAGTAACAGAATGAAGTGGTCACACACATACAAAAGAGCTGGGGACAGGCTCTCTGGGAGTTTGCTGCATGTGGGCTTGACCTGGATGTCAGGCACCTGGGGGTCTCCTTAGTGGAAGTTGGTGACCTTCTCCCCTGCAGTGCACTTCTGTTCCCTACTGCCTGCCACCTCTAAATGGAATGCCTCTTTCTTTTCTGGAGAGAAGAGACTAAAATACCAGGCTATGATGTACCATCTCTTCGTTGCTATGACTGAGGCCATTAAAATGGCAGGCATTAAAAGACTGCACCTCAGGACCCAGCTACAAAGCTTCAAGGTCACTGCATTCCACAGCTTCCCGTCGGCCTTTCATTCCTGGCCTCAGAGTTTCAATATCCTGGCGAGATCCCCTTGCATTATATTTCATGGGGCTTAAATGCAAGCTCTCCCAGCAAGCTGGAGAGTATAATGGGAGTTTTAATACATTCCTTTTACCTAAGGCTGGGATCTATTTCAAAAAGTTACCTAATAGGTTTTCTTTCAGGTGAGCTCATTGCTGAGACATTCCAAAATGACATTATAAAATAAATCCTCTGATGACTATATTAATACAGTACCTGGGACACTGAGAGTTATGCCTGAAAATGTCTCAGATATCTATAAATAAACCTTAAAAAAAAATAACCCAGCAGGAGGAATGTGAGGAGCTAATGGAATCCAAAAGACCTCATTGCTACCCCCTTAGAGCTGAAATCTACTCCAGGCTGACGGTGGCAGCAGATATAAAAAGCCAGCCACAAGCTGAAGCATGTTAGAAAATACTGGTGCAATGCAATCATCTTTTTCTTCAGAGAAAAGTCACAAAGTCTGCTCCTTGGAAGACTGGCATCCTTTGCTTTAAAAAGGTGCACTAATTACACAAGAACAAAGTTAAATTCAGGCAACCTGGAGCTGACTTAAAGATCAGCCTTTTGACTTCATAGTGTCGCTTCCTGATGTCAGGTGAAAGGGCCTCTACAGAGAAGAGAGTCAGTGGGACGAGGTGTAGGAGAATGACCACCACTTTCTAAAGGGCAGAAATGTGTCAGGACCAGAAGTGCCCTTTCTGTCTGGCTTGTTGAAAACACATTTTGGGAGTCCCTGGAATGCCCCAGCCTGCGCTCCTTGGGGTTCCGCTTGCCCAAGCAGTGTGCCCTGCTTTACTATAGGCCTTAGTACAGAACCGGCTGGATTAAGTGTCCCAGGGCATTACCACGGGACTGGAGGACTGGAAAGCACTTTGGTCACACAAGGGAATCAGCCAAGGGATAAGTCAAGCCTCAGACATCCTTGTTTGAGCCTCAGCTGGTTGAATAAAAAACTCATTCAGAATGCGAAATATTTTTACTGCACTTGGGGTGGAGAGTGAAGTTTCCAAGGTTTTATAAACAAACAGTCTGATACAAACACAGCACTCTCATAGGTCAAAGCAGATGTAAGCACAGACCTTAGGAAGATGTGTATTTTACTTTTTCCCACATTCACATCAGTCTTGGGCAGCAGCACTAACGCTGCCCAGTGGGCATAGCCTACAGGGCCCTGGGGCCCCTAACCTGGGTCACAGACACTCTTGGATGTCCTGGATAGAATTAAGGGTTCCATGAGCTGGGACGAGAAAAATATCACATCTTTATTTTCAGTCTCTAACTGAAAGTTGCCATTTCTTTTAAATATGAATGTAGAAAACAAATCCCCATAATGTTAGCACTACCTGTAATCATGTCACCAACAGAAACTGTGATATTTTCATATCAATTACAGTTACAAATACGTATCTGTAATATCTGTAATGTGTATAATTGCAAATATCTACCTACCTATATGATTCCCATTGAAATTCATAGTGTTTTATTGTACTCACTTAAAAACATCCGAAGAAGAGGCCCATAGCCTTCACCAAGTTGTCCAAGGGGTCCATGACACAAAAAGGATGCCCTCTGCAAGAAGGCAACCTGCCAGTAGAATGGAGCAAGTCTTGTCCCTAGGCTCTATCTGCACTACTAACACTTTCAGTTTTGGCCAAACACAGGAATGACAGAACAGTTGGCAAAAAAAGTCAAATTGACCAGGTTTGGTTCCTAACGGTTTATGTCCTTTGGCACAGCATGCACCGTCCCTGCCATTCATGCTCACAGTGTGCCTCGCACCCTGTGAGTCCCTTTCTGAGCATTACTTCGTATGACCCTTACAGCCACCTTCCATGGGTGGCAGTAGGAGTATAGCCACCTTACAGATAAAAATAATTAAACCTTTGAGCTGTTACGTAATCCATCCACAGTCCCACCCAGCTAGAAAGCAGCATAAATAGGAAATGTCTGTAAGGCCATGTGACTCCATATTCCAGCAAACTGGGGTAACAAGTGCTGCCCTACTCCCACACAGGACTTTTGGGTGAAGCCCAGAAGAATAACAGATACATAATACGTCACATATAAACAGCACCATTCATTTCCAAAACAAGTTACCAGTATTTTAAAATTATTATCACTACCATTATTGACATTCTCAAGTATATCAAAATTTGAGTTTTGGAAATACCTAGCAGAAAACCACAGTTCTATCAAGGGGACTTCTAGATTATATTTCATGTTGAAGTGGCAATATAATGATTACAAAGAATGGCTGAAAGGCTGTAAAAGGATCTAGGTTAATGCTAGATAAGGATCGAATCAAATCAATGCTTGATTGTTGGTATCTGCTACAGAGCTTGAAAAGAATTCTCTTATGTAAATGAAACAAGTACCCTTCAATCTGGCTACAGGCTTTTAACTTACTCCGCAAGTTTTTCCTTCTATGAGGCTGTACTAAAAGGGGAAATTCAGTCCATTTCTGGCCAGGTGGTAACAAGCCCCAGAGTGGAGAAGCCTAAGAAAACACAGCTTGGTCAGCTGCCCAGCACTATAGCTGCTTGTCTCCTTTCTCAGTAGCTCCATAGAATTCTCTGTGCAGAGTAAAGGTACCTTTCCAGGGACATTCTCACCTTGACCTCCCAGGTCCACTTACCTGACTAACAATGAAGAAAATGACAGTCATGGCAGCACAGGCCAGGGTGATGAGCATGAGGAACTTGAACCTGAAAATTAGCCCCTATGAGGAAAGAAAGAGTAGTTGTTAACATTCCACTGCCTACCACAAGTCCTTTCTTAATATATAACTCTATACAAAGCTTATTTTATTTTATTTCTTTAAATCAAGTGTTTTCTGTTAGATTATAGCTGATATGCAATATTTCATTGGTTTCAGATGTACAACATAATGGCTCGATAATTATATACATTACTAAATGCTCACCATGGTGAAAGAGGTGAATTTTAAATATATCTATAAAAACCAAATCCCTAAGAGTGACTGTAGAATGATTGCATGTAGGAACTTTCCTCCTGCAGAGGTGAATGTAGCTGAAAAATTTATCAAGCTGAGTATTTCCTATGTGTTTATCTGTCATGAAACAGTGATACTGGAGCCTGGGAAATTATATTCATGGCACGTCATGAGGCTGCTAATTTTCCTGCTAAGCTGGTTATGCTTCTCTGCAAGGGTTCAAAGTTACCAAATCCAAGTTTTCTGTGGTTGTAATGAAATTCTGCTCCAGTGAACAAAATGAAATGTGCATATTAATTGACATGAAGTGGATCTGGTTGAATTTTTTCATGTGTCACTCCAGCTCTAGCAACAGGCAAAGCTTCAGAACCTGCCAAGAGCTTCCTGAGACAAGGATTTAAGAAGGCAACCTGTGTTTCAGGGAAGAACCCCTCTTATTCAGGGACTCTTATTTGCAGATTGATTCATATAAAAACTCTATGATCCTGCAGTTTGTTTCTCTTGCCACAGAGGAATTAGGCCCGTGTCTCCCAGGACAGCCACTTAGGCATGAGCCCAAGGGTTTTGAAAATACAAGAATGTGTTGCCTGCATTAGAGATTTGAGGATGTTGAATTTCTCTTCGATGAGGCATATGCTATATAAACAGAGATTACTGAACTCTATCTGAGCACCTGCTTGATATTTTAGAAAAATGTGGCCTAATATAGTCTGGAAATCAGATCACCTGGGCTGAACCCCAGTCTTAAGGCTGACTCTCAGCAAGGAAACCTTACCTAAAGCCTCACCCAAGCCAAATCCCAAATCTGCCAGAGTCAAATCTCCCACTGAGTATGCACCTACATTCCATCCCAAAGCTGAAGAACCTGCTCAACAAGTTCAGTTCTTACAGAGGATAGAAAGACATTTATACCACAAAAACTTCAAGATTTAGATGGGCCAGCTGGATGCTTGTCAGAGTAGGAGTTAGCCTCTTGTTTTGCCCAGAGATCACATCTGACATGAGGGTCTCTTAATGTGTATTTGAAATAAAGGCTTCCCATCTCCAGGTGCATGTGTGGGTGTGTGTGTAACAGATGGAGCAGGCAATACTGAGCACCAGTTCCTGAATAAGCTGAGACATTTGCTCACCTCATAGTGCATCCGCCGGACTTTGCTCATGGCTGGCAAGCTGGACTGCTTCCCACTGATGTTTCGGAACACCTGAAACACCATGAAGCACAGAAACAGGAAGTAGAGGCAGAGACAGATCCCAGCCACAATGATGAAGGCCATCTGATGGCGGGCTGTAAAGGAAACGTCAGGCTAGCCAAGGACACAGGCACTTCTCCCCGAGCTCTGCTGGCAATATGCTCCCAATATTTAGGCAATTTTCAGGGGGATGAAATATTAAAACCTAGCACTCTAATGCCAGTGATAGAAGTTTTCTGCCACAAAAGGACCACAGAGAGGAATGTTTCAAACTGCTTTTTAAGACAAATAATAGGAGGACTAGAGTCTTGCTTATTACAAGTGCAGACCTCAGGGCCCACTCAAGACTTACTGAATCAGAATCTGCCTTTTACAAGGTCTCCAGGCGATGCACAGTAAATTTGAAAAGCACTAAAATACTGGATATTGGTTACAAAATATTGATCAGGGGGAAAGCTACATTAAAATCACTGGAAGAGTTAAAATGCAAGTACCCACATCCCACTGCAGATACATGGAATCAGATCTTCCAAGGGCTAGGAAACCAAGTATAACAGGGAAGCACTGGGCTAATCCCTGGATTTCCTAAGAAGGAGACTGAGATACCCTGGAACTGGGAGGAGACGGAGCAGGGGCTGAGTGCCACAGCAGTTGTAAGAGCCACTGGGCATGGCCCTGAGGTTCTTAAAGAAAAAGCGCAGACCTTAGGGTTGTTTGCAGTGTTCTGTCCCCTCAAGAAAAATTCTGTCAAATGGAACAGGGAGCAGAAGGACAGAGGGCCACAGTGGGAGCTGAGGGTGGGGAGAGCATGAACTCTGAGACCCACCAGGGCAACTCTGAAACCTATCTTTAAAACTCAATCTGAGAACAATCAAGGCTTGGGGTAGAGTGAGCTGGCTGGGGAGGCAGCTGACCCAAATCCAGCTCCTTTCTGCTACAACTCTACCCAAGATGCATTATTTTCAAATATTTTAACAAGTGTGAACTCAGAGTGTATATTTAATTAAACAGTACGTTTAATGCAGTTTCTCCTCCTTGCCTAAAATCAACAGTACCCTGGAATGAAGGGAATATAGTTATCTGATGCAGGACCTGAAATGTTATTTGCCACCCTGGTCCTCCACTATATCTGTAGAATGAAAGGATTGAAATAGATTTAACATTATAAATAGTCCCTGTGTTGGACAGCTGACATTTTTTAGGTGGGGCATGGGGGAAAGACAGAGCTCAAATTCTCTCATCTTTAAGGTAATGACACTACTGGTTTAGCTTGCGCACAAAGTTCTTGTGATACTAAGAAGTCCACAGAAACATTGTGGCACATGACAAATTATTACCCATCAAGAAAGAATATAACCCAAGCCTTTCTCCCTTCTCCAGAGGAGCATCTTATTCTCCTGAAGCACTTAACATATTATTCAGGAAGATAAAATATTTAAATCCGGTGTCCTAAAAGGGATAAGCTAAGACTGTCACTTCTGTTTCATGAAGATGACACAGATGGACTTTATGCCAACCAACCAGAAGCCTATATGGCTCCTCTGGAACTAATCCCCTTAGCCTTATCTCCAACTGGTCTCAGGAATGAACAGCGGCGGCATGGTGTGCCAGTGCACCAAGGTCACGGCAAGAAGTCTTGCACACAGTCAACTTCAGAAACAGGCTCCCCCACGGAGCCCCAGAGATGAACCTCCGAGGCTCTAGGAAAAGCTATTCATGCTTCAGACTGCAGTAAACAAGTGTATCACAGCTAATTTAGACAGGCTGCGGTAAGACCAGCAACTCCAATCCCTCTGCTGTGCAGATGTGAAGCAACTTCCTTGTTTCGCCTGCTCTCACCCAGGCTTACAAGCAAGCACTAATTCTTCTCATTATTTGCCTGAATTGTGTCATTATCATTGGTCTGGGGATCAAGGATCTGGCTGAGCACATATGGAGAACATGAGAGGGACTTAGAAAAAGATTCTTGGGATTGGGTGGCTAGAGGAAGAAATAAAATCCCGAGCCCGTCAAGGAAGGATACAGCCAGCTCTGTCCCCACATCTGTAGTCCAGATACTGTAGAAAGGATTCGTGAGTTGTACCCCTCTGCAAGAGAAACAGCAAGAAAGGCAAAACATAATTGACACAGAAGCAAAGGGAAACTTTCCTTTTTACATATTCTTAGCTTTTCAGCCAGAGGGGTGGGGGCTGTTATTGAGATTTAAAAATCACAGAACACTTAAAGACAAATGTAGTTGGAAGGACACAATTAACCCAAATGTTCTGTATCTATAATGACCTTTTCCTTTGATTAAATCCCAGTCCTATCTGATGACGTGACTATGTCCAATGCTTCCGTCCCACTGGTCCCAACCACCCTTCTCCTTTCCAAACATTCCTCCTACAGAGCAAGGGTGGACACCGTGATGCGCATTTCAGCCTGGAGTCCCAAGGGGCCTGCTCACCTCTCACACATGTCGAATATGAAGAGGCAGAAAGAGCCAATAGCAATTGGTCCGACTTGCTTCCAATACCCTGCTATGTGATTCCGCTCATGTTGATCCTGGGGAAAATCAGTCAAGAAACGAGACAAAGATCGGGGAGCGCGAGTCAACTCTAAAGGCGACTCAGGCATTCAAACAATCCTTGCAGACCACCTCTCGTGTATCAAGCACCACGGTAGACTCCAGGCACACATTAATGAGTAAGACCAAAATCTCTGTCCTAAAGAGATCACTTTTGTCTGCCCATCCATAAGGGCTGTCATAGTCATAAGAACAGGATGCTACAAAACCCAAAGAAAGGACTTGGGTTCTAGGGGCACAGATTTTGTTGTCCACAAAAGAACTCATGCAGAATTAAATTCCCATGTGACTTATCACTTGTGTTTATTAAGGTGGGGTGGTCCCCAAAGGACAAAATAAGGACTCTAAGACATTAAAATACATCAAGTGTAAGAGGTTCCTTATGGTTAGGAAAACAGATATATGCTCTCCCTTATCTTCCTTAAAAACAAGGGTGGTCTCTCTTCATAGATATACAAAGACGTTAAGAGAAAATGAAGGAATGTAAAATGAGAAACTAGAGAGAGGCAAAAAATGTGTCTTAGCATCCATCTGGAGCCCAGATAAGAGTCCACACTAGCACCCACTAGTCCCTGAGCAGTCCACCCGGCTGCTGTCCGGCTGGAGTCCTGGGGTCCTCACACTTCCAGTCCCTGCTGCCGAGGGCACATTCTCAGGGAGTCACTGCTCTCCCGGAAGAGCTGCAAGGCTTCAGGAGCAATGATCAAACCATAATGGAATTTAAAAACAGTCTGCTCTACTATTTTCTACAATGAATCCCATGAGCCTGACGTGAGGACCACACTCTAGTTGGCATATCGTCTTAACCACAGCGTGATGACTGCACCATTCTTATTTTTATCCATGATACCTTTAATCCCTTCTGAAACATGATTTGGTGTCTGTGCTGAGACCAGGGAGGTCAGTATTTCAGGGTCATAGAGGTTACTGGGCCGCCTGGTCAAACGGCCAGCTGGAAAGCATGTGGCCCACATTCCCTGCTGGTTACTTTGGTTCTGGGGACAAAGAGAGCTTAAGCCAAAGGACAGGAAATAGTGATGATCATTAACATTTGTCTGTTTGCTTTCTGCTAAATACTTCCTCATATTATGTCACTTAAATCTCACAAAAAGTCTATCCATGAGGCCTTTAAAACCCATTATATAGATGAGGAAGCTGAGATTCAGAGTGAAGACACTTGCCTATGGCCACTCAGTGAGTTAGTAAGCAGTGAAGCAGGCATTTGAACCACGGGTCTAACTCCAGAACTCACTCCTGTAACTACCGGTTTATTCTGCCCCAGCCACTGCCCCTTCCCCAGGAGCTCTTACCATCATGTGCTCGCCACAGAAGATGACCCAGAAGGAGAGAAGCATTGCATAGAAGATGCCCTGTCGGATGTCACCAAACAGCAGCATCCAGGTCCAGTCAAACCCAATGGAAAACCATTCCACTGGGATATTAATAAAAGTCATGGAAATCCCAAGGGCAAAGATGACTCTGATGGTGAGAAAGTATCAGGAAAATCATTTTATTCATCTAGGAGACAGATTTTCAAAAACCAGAACCCAGTTTGGGGCACTGAGATGTCACACATAGGGATGGAAGCCATGAGACCAGTTTCTTAGCTCTCAGAGTTTCTACACAGAGAAGCGGAATGAAGGAGTGTTACATTAACCTGTCTGTACCACCGAACCTCACCCTCTTAATGCCTTGAACTTTATTTTGGTGCCGCCTCAGATTAAAGGCTTCCTACAACATTTTTACCCTCCCTTGCCTTCTTAATCAGATAACTGAATAGAATTATCCTCTCTTACCTACTCTAGTTATCATTAACCTGATCAGTCAGAATGCTATTATTGTCATGGTATCCTCAGCAACTGTGGATTACCTAGGCATATTTCTTTCACTAATAAATGACTCCAGGCAATATGAAATACAAATTCTTTCAGATGCTTGTTTGGATTTTACTTTGCTTTTCCCTGCCACACTATTAATTGCTACTTCTCTATCAAAGTATCATTCACTTTGTCAATGAATATTTCTATTTTCATTCATACCTGTGAAATACACATGTTTATTAAGTATGATCATGTACTGGGCATTTTCTAAGGGCTACAGATACCTACATGAATAGGACCAGTTCCTTCACTCATGGAGATACACACTCAGTCACTCAGTGATGTACCAGATATAAGTGTGGGAAGTGACACAACAGAAGTATGCACAGGTTGCTACTGGAACTTCTAACTTTGACAGAGACAGAAATTGTGAGTTGTGAGTCAAAGTTAGGGAGGTGGAAGGGTGTTCCAAGCAGAGGGAGGAGCCAGGGTGGAAGCACAGAAACCTGGAACAGCCTTAAGCATTTGGGGATCTGCAGGTAGCACATATCAGGAAATGTCAGAACTTGTCAGAGATGGAAAAAAGGCTGAGCTCATGAAAAAACTTGCATAGTTTAATATGGAATTTGAAATTTATCTTGAAAGGATGGAGGATCCAATAAGAAGGTTGAAAAATACTCAGCATTGAAAAACTCATATTTATTCAATATGAATAAATAGCTTCTACTATGTGCCAGTCACTCTTCTGGGTGTGAGGATACAGCAGTAAACAAAGCAGGCAAGAAGCCTGCTCTGTAGATGCTTGTATTCAGATGGGGTGAGAAGTGATGTATGGGGGGAAAGATAAGAAATAAAGAGAGTATGAGTATTATGAAGAAAAGTAAAGCAAGGTAAGAGAATGAAGAGTGATAGGGGGCTATTTCACATAAGGTGGACAGGAAAAAGCCTCTAAGGTAAGAGACATTACAACAGGGCCTGTTGGAAATGAGGAACTGAGCCACAGAGATATCTGGGGAGTAGCATTTCAGGGGACAAGAACGCACGTGCAAAGGCCCTGAGGAGAGAGCATGCCAAGAATGTCCGGGCACAAACAAGAGGGGATGGTGGGTAGCAGAGAGGATAGATGAAATCAGGGGTGGCAAGGATCCAGATCACCAAAGGCTTTATAGGCCAGGGCAAAAGGAAATGAAAGGCCAGTAGGGAGCTTGGAGCAGAGGAATGACATGGTCTGATTTATACTTAAAGGGAACACTTGTTTGCTGTGGCAGATCGTAGGGAGGAAAATGGTGGAAACACGGAGAGCAGTTGAGAGGCTATTTCCAAAAACCCAGGCGAGAAATGATGGTGAGTTAGATTAGGGTGGTAGCAATGGAAACAGTGAGCTTTTCTGGTGGGTTGGATGAGGGGGGTGTGCAAAAGAAGAGACATAAAGGATGATTCCTACATATGTAGTCTGAGCAGCTGCAAGGATGGAGTTGCCATTTCCTAAAATGGGGTGCCTGGAAGAAGAGCAAGTTTTAAGTGGGAGGAAATCAGGTGTTGTCCTCTGCATCTGCTGTCTTTCTGTGCGAGCACAGATGGAACATTTGGGTCTAGAGTTGGGAGAGGCTGTGGTTGAGGATATGTATTAAAAGTCATCAGAGTATAGATGAATTTTAAGGCCACGAGACTCGATGAGATCACCTGGGAAATCAGCATAGCTAATAAAGAGAAGAGGTCCAAAGACAGCCCTGGCTGCAAAGTTTAAGAGGTTGGAAAGATGATTGGAAACAGCGACGGAATCTGAGCGACGGTCAGCAAAGCAACGCAATGACCATGAGATGAGTGGAGGAGGCTCTGTGAGATAAAGGGAGTGGCCAGTTGGGTCAAATGCTGGTGAGGAGTCAAGAAAAGGGAGGACTGAGAAATGACCATTGGATTTGGAATATGGAAGTCCTGGTGATTCTGTCAAGAGCAGTTTTAACGACGGGGTGGAATGAGATGATGAAAGAACAGGAGGAGAAGATAAACAGACAAGATTTTTTAAGGAGCTTTGTTGTAAAGAGAAGCAGAAAAATGGTGTGGTGGATTCAGAGGAAAATAAGGAAAAGAAGAGTTTTGTCTAAGAATAAGAGATGGTATAAATGTGTTTGTGTATTAGTGTGAATAATGCAGCAGGAAAGAAAAAGTCAATAATGTGGGAGAGAAAGGGGATCTATCTACAGGAGCACTGCCTTCTGGAGTCAGAGGGGCTGGGCCTGGTTAGGAGCACGGCAGTTTGTCCCCTGTGACAGAGAGAAATACCTGATTCAGACCATGGGAAGGAAGAGCAAAGAGAATGGAGACCCACAATTGTGGAGAGGCAGAAGCAAGAAAATGAGTCCAGGAAGATTCCGGGTCCAATCACCAGCCCAGATAACACATGACCACTTGAACTGGACCCCGGCAAAACCAGAACTGCAGAGGAGACCCTGGGCTGCCTGCATTCCTTCCGAGTGCCCCCAGATCAGCGCTTACTTTTCTAGAAGCACCGGGGGGCGGGCCATCATGACGATCCTCCTCCAGTACCACACCGTAATGATGAGGATGCTGGGCGTGAGGAAGGTCTTCATGGCGAACCACACCTTGGTGAAGCCTCCATTTTGGTGGATTCCCTAGACAGAGACAATCATGATTTTGAAGGTGAATATAGCTCACTGCTACTTTCTACCAACAAATGCATTTTGGGGAGAAGAGGGAGGACTTTTCTGCTGCACTTTCAAGATGAAGAGCTTTAACATTCACAGCATGTACTGTCATTATCCCCCGCCCCCTCGGCAGGCACCACAGAGGGCCCACAAATAGATTGGACCCACTCTGTAGGAAGGGAATGATTTTAGGAACAGAATTCAAAGATTCTTCTGTCAGGTTTTCACTGAAAAATTGAAGATATCATAGATTCTCCAAATTGGTAATTTTTCTGTAGATTTAAGGTAAATCTATACAGTGGAATACTAAGCAGTATTGAAAAGTATGTTATATTATATTCACAATATACCATTAAATGAGAAAAGCAAGAAACAAAAGTCAGTTGAATATGACCCTTTTTTTTGTAAGGGAAGGATTATATATGTTAGAAAAAATCTGGAAAAGAGATATATCAAAACTTCAACAATGGTTATTTTTCTACAGAGTAGGATATTACAGATAATTTTTAGGTACATCTACATGTTTATTTGTGCTTCCTAATTTTCTACAATAATATGTATTTCTTGTGTGATTTTTTTTTTTGGTTAAAAAAAAATGGCCTCTTGCTCCATGTTTCACTTTTTCCCCTTTTAAACAAGTTAAATGGAAAGAACCTGGAATACCACTGCTCCCTTTAACATTCGTACTTGCAAGGTGAAATGTGTAAAACAAACTACTTTTATCTTTGTGTTATTTACTATGCAATCATGATTATTATAATAAAATCTTAAAAGGGCACAAAAATTACATTACTTCCCATTTCTGTGATCTCTCACACATTTATGATCTTAGCCGTCATGGGTATGTTATTATTCCTATTTCTCAGATGAAATAATTGGGCCATGGAGATGCCAAGAGTGAGATTGAGTTCCCTTCCAATACACATGCTCACACACCAGTGTTCCTAGCCAGCGTTCTAATGTCAAAGGTTGCCTGGATCAATCAGATTGACGTACCACCAGTCGAATATCCTTTATCTCCCCAATCCCAACGTTGATTTTCTTCTTCTCATTCACAGGCAGCCGGATGTTTAGAAGGTAGTACTTATGAGCCACAGACCCGATTTCCATGAAAGGGAGGACATCACATTCATAGTAACGGCCCTCATGCTCAGAGGTCTGGAAGAAGACAAGTTTGAGGCAGGATCACTATTTCCCCAACAGACTCTGTCTGAATTGTATGACTTTGCCTCCTATCACCAATCCTTAAAAGCTAATGCTTAAAGGTATACCTTAAAAGTACAGATAGTAGGGCACACAGGAGGCATGGTGACTACCGTCTTGCCGCCCTCCAAAAACAAAAACAAAAAACACTAGCCACACTTGTGATAGAACCAGACACTTTTTTAAAACAAAAAGGAGAATTCTCTTCTATCTCTAAATACTCTTCTCAGCTCTTCAGTCCTCAGCTGAGCCTTGTATCAGACTACCTGGTCTACCTGGGCTATTAAGGGCTTTTAATTTGCAGCTTATCATTGGAGATCACCAGTAAGACTCAGTGGAGCAGTCAACTTCCTAAATATTCAGGGGGAAGCCCTTGCTGATGATCCTCACTCTTGGTTGATGGCTTATTATTTTCATGGTTTGGGCCTATAGGAAAAGGTCCAAGAAGGTAAAAATGTTCTTATTGATTTGATAAATAAAAAATCAACTCAAAGAGCCCTCGTAATTTGGGGAAGACAAAGGGATGGAAGCCAATAACGGGGTTAGTTTTTAAAGTCATCCACTCAGAATTCTCTGCCTTAAAAGCTTCCTCACTGCCCAGGAGGCAAGATGGAAGAGGGAGCAGAAATTTTAATTAAACAAAAGTTTAGCTCCATTTCTAGAAAAGCCTCTTGGGTTTTTTTGAACTGTCAAGAATTGAAGAGGAACTGCTAAGAGCATGGTGGTGGGGAGATTAGAGAGTAGAAGTACTTGCTTTTTGAAAACTAAATTCTTGCTTTCCTCACCAGAACTCCTGGCTATGTGTCCCTGTCAAGAGGCAGGGGTAAGGGGTAAATATGGGCATGTAAAAGCATGAGCTTTGGCAGCCAGAGACATTACCCTGATAAAAAAGATGAATGCCTGCCATCAAATTTATATGCCAGCTTATTAATATGTTTATAATGCCCATGTTTGCTTGACATACACCTCCTGATCAAGTGATGGGAAATTTAATTTGTTGTTCCTAAGCCTGAATTCTCAGGGAGTCCCTAATTTTTTGTGTATCATCAGAGTAAAAAGCCCAGTAGAGAAATGAGAAGTAAGATAACAAAGAGTCTAGTCTAACTAACATATGAAGGGTCTCTGCCCCTTCCATGACCTGGGGGAGCTCCTGATTGGACAGTCAGAACTTAGAGTGAAATAAACAGACCTTTGCACAGAAACAAAAGACCCACAGGACAAAAGCAGAGGTGGAACAGAAATATCTGGCTTACGTGCTTCTACTCTTCCCTTCCCCATTCACAGCAGACATCACTAATCAATCATGATAGTTCTTCATCCTCTAAAGTTTGAGGGGTTCTTATCAGAACTACCAGTTGATTGGACTTGGTGAAATCCTGCTTCTTTTCCAAACCTCAGCTGCATTCTGGATGATTCTTCCTGTACAGACTGCTTTTTCTCCCCTCTGCTTTTTTCTCTCTCATATTTACAAATCAGGGCTAGTATTGCAGCTCTGCAGAAACTACTGACAATACATTCAGGCTCTAATTCAGCCTCAGATGAAGCTACATTGAGGAGGCTGATTACCTTCTGTGGTAACAGAAAGATGAGGGTTTGTTTTCTGATGTGTTTCCAGTCAGTCTTGTTATATTTCTAGAAATTGAGTTTGAGGGGGAAGGGAACCAAACTCATTTAGTCCAATGCCACTAACTTGATTATGCATCTTATCCAAGGTCCCAAAAGTAGATCCAGTACCAGGTGAGGCCAGGGGTCTCTAAGCCCAGCCTCCAGCCCTGATGGGATACCAGAGTACAGCAGGCCAGAAGGAATGGCCTTGCCTCAGAATGCCTGCAGGCAGGCATCATGCTGCGGTAAGGAGCACATGGACCCCCAAGCCAGGGGACTTAGATTCTAGCCCTGACCGGGCCCATTTCTGGGTCCCTAGGGAAGGCCACCTACCTCACCTGGCCTCACTTTCCTCCTAAGTAAAACAGGAAGGTTAAAGGAAATGATCTCCCCTGTTCCTTCTAATACCCATCATAGGTCTCTGGGAGTCCTCCACTTCCCTGTCGTTACAGAGAGAGTAACACTGCCACTCCATGAGACCCGTGTACCCAAGTTCACCCCATTAGATACATCCAATCTGGGCTCCCGGCCTGGCCTACCTGCCTCAGGGACACACTCACTGCACCCTGTGGGAACTTCTCCTTATGCATTGAGGTTCTGCCTCTGCCAGTATTTAGGGCATTTAGGGAAGATACTCTCCCCCCTCTTCCTTTTCCTTCCCTCATCCCCCTCAGCCCTCCCTCCAACTCCAGCATGAGACTAGCTAATTAGGACAAATTACAGCAGGTGGCAACTTGACTTTTTTTTTTAACTTCAGAATCCACTAGGGACTAAAAAGTTTTAAAGCAATTTCTCATTTAATCTTCAGACTCAAGACTAAATTTCACTGCAATCAAAGAGTAGATTTGATGATTCGTTTCCTTCACACTTTTCAAGGTTTAATCTTTCTCAAAAGGGATCAACACATCCTAAAGATAATTAAGCAACCATCATTAAGAAGCAGTCACAGGCTTTTTAATGACCTCCCCTTCACTCTGCTACTCAGTGCCCTATAAATGGATAAGTAAAGCGAGAAACAACTTTTCCCTTTTCTGAAAATGAAATTCCATATCCCAAAGCTTTATATCCTTGAGCTTAGATATCCAACCAGTCTCACCTCGGAAAGACGCAATCACCTTGTAGCAACGGCTAGAAAGGTTTTCATTAATTCCCTCCACTGCATAGAAAGATCTGAAAATGTCTACTCTCCCTCTCTCCTGCTACCTCGTTACTCTCTACCATTCATTTTCACCTTAAGATTGCCCCCAGTGGCCTGCCCAAAACAATTCCAGATAGTATTTTGGGGGGACCTTATCTATAACAGTTAGCAGAAGGTCTAGGGCAGTGATCCCCAAACTTTACTGAGCCTAAGAGAAGGATTTGAACTTCTGTTAAAACAGATTCCTTGATCCTACACCCTGTGATTTCTATTGGGTAGGTTTTAAGTGTGACCCGGGAATCTGCATTTCCTATAAGCTCCCAGTGGTGCTGATTCCTCAGGTCACACACCATAGCTCTGGTGTGGGGAATCTGGGGAAGGAAAACTTTATAACCGCCAGGTGCCCCGACAGGTGTTTATGTGAAGGGCATATGGCTTGCCACGAGGGTCCTAGTGGCCCACCTGGTTAACATCCTTTTTCACTCTCTAACATGTTCCAGACTGGATGCTGAATGATAAGGTCACCCTGCTTATGTTCATTACCTCATCCAGTCCTTACAAAGAATCCCAAAGCAGGTATTATCCTCCCATTTTGCAGAAGAGAAACTGAAACTTGGATAGATTAGATAAATTTGCCTAAGGTACACAGTCCATAAGTGATACAGCCTGGAACTGAAGCCAAGTTATGTTGTGCGCCAAATCCATGCTTTCAGCTACTGCTAATACTGTGACCCTGCCCCACCCAACCTTACTCCTCTTCAGGACAGGACAGACAGGGCTCAGAGGCTTCAAACTGCCATTCCTACCATTCCACAAGGAAGCTCACGTTCACAGTTATAAGCAAAAGCAAAGTTAGGAACGTGATTGCCAGGGGAGGAGAGGAACTATATTGATCAGCAGAGCAGGGACTACAGAGCTGTCCAAACCCTGAGCAGAAGCAACAGATCAGAAGCTGTCAAGTGACAAACAATACAATCAAGAATGTGCTTTGCTGCAGTTTGGCCTCTCAGACATGTCACACAAAGAAAATGAGACTATCCCTGTACCCGAGGGGACATCAGAGACCACCTTGCTGATGGTGCTCCACATCTACAACCTTGAGGAATATGACCAACCACGAGTATCAGTAACTATGGCTCCATTTCAGTCAGAGAAACTTTCAAGAGTGGGTGGGGAAGCAGGGGTAGGGGATCAGAATCTCAGGGAGGCATGTGTGAGGGAAGCACCTGGCATTTGAAAAGAGCCCCTGGCTAATTCTGATATGGCCTCACGTCATCAACTCCCACTATCTTCCAAGGGTCACTGACTCAATCCCTACATTTTCACTGATGAGGATCTAAGCCCTTTGCCCTAAATAAAATGTCTTGCTATTTTCAGGGCAGGTGGCAACTTCCCTTCCTTGGGCGGTCGAATGAGTGGCCCTGCAGGAACCAGAGAAGGGAGAGTCTCAAAGACAGGTTAGAACACTCAGGTCTCAGCTGAATTAAACTAAATTTCCTCCCTTGGGTCCTGTTTTTGTTTGTGGAATTCACTGGGATTTTTCACCTTCATACCTGCATGTTACCTTTGGCAACAAAGGATGCCTAAGAAACAGAGAAGCAGACACAAGCATTGATCCAATCTGAACAGATTCTCACACCTCAAAATAACTTTGCAACATTCTTCAGACACTTTCAGCTGTTAACTAAAGAACCAAGAGTTTATTTTTATGGAGCTAATTCAGAGAAACAACTAACATTCACTCCTTCCTCTGTTCTTTCTTCCTCTGCAGGGATGTGAAAAATCTACATTGCCCTTTTCTCCAACAAGACAGAGGGTGATGAGCAAACCTTTGTGGGCCATGTGTGCTAAGAAACAAGAAACATGTCTGTAAATTGTAAAGCAAATCTTCCCACAAACCTGAACACCAAATAAAATTCCAACCAATTTGGACATCAAGGCGTCCTACCTTGGGGGATGTGAAGGTACATTTAAGTTTCCGGGGCACTCTCTCGTGGGCCATTTCAGTCCATTCAGCAAGCATATCATCACGGTAAGCCAGGGAAACATCCATGGAAACTTCTGCATTTTCTCCTATTAGAAAAAGGATATACAACTCAGAAATGGCTCCTGGGAAGACAGATTGGAAATGGTGCAAAAACGCCTCTAGGTTCTGCCATGGAAACCAGCAAGACAAAAATATATAAAAAAGTCAGGATGAATGTCTAAGATGGATGCTGGCTCCTCTCCCATTACCACTCTGCCAAGGAGTCAAAGGGCTTCCACTCAACTCCTACAGAGGTGGGGGGGTCTCACTCTCTCTAAGGCAGCTCAGACGGTCAGGTTCTGAGCCACAGGCAGCACTTACACCCCTGTAACTTGCCCCACTGGTCCTCCATCTGCCAGAGGAGGCACACGGATGATGAGGTCCTTCTACAGAAGTATCTTAGACACTTGGAAGCCCGTATCTCATCTGCCTCGTTTTTTCCCCCTCTCCAATAAAAATGACCAAGTTTTTCAACCACGCTTCACAGACATGATTTAAACACCTTTGCGGCTCCCTTCTGGACACAGTCTAATCTGAAAGCATCCTTTTTAAAATTATCCACCAAGAAGTTTTCAAATATAGGATCTGCTATTTCTCTAAAACTTAAAACCTCTCTCCATGTTGTGGACAAAGTTAACATAAAAGGTGAAGAGATTTTCTAAAATTAAAGACTTATACACAGATAGGAATATAAGAATGAGCACATAATTGTACAAATGAATGTTCACATATACTTCCATCTCAATAAGGGCCATGAATGGGTTTTAATCACCACAGAAAAGATTAAGGAGATTAGATTAATAAACATCGCATCTATCTATTTTGTCTGTTTTATACCATGCTCAGCAAGTTCAAGAACAGAGAAGTCTTTAAAAAAAGAACACAAAAACACAGACCACATTTCCAAAATGTCTGGAGAGCCAGCTGCCCTGAGGTTATGAGATGGCCCATTCCTAGGCTCTGGAACCTGAACACACAGAGGTCGCACGGGGAAGCCCTAAGAATAACTGCTGTCTAGAAAATTAGGGCTTTTCTATCCACTGGCACAGTGTGGCTTGAAGCCAGTTTGACAGTGTGGTAAATCCCTGGTTCTCTGAGGAAATCCAGGAAGGGGAAGAAATGATGCAAGGAAGAAGGGATTTGAGGCCATTCAGATGTACAGAACACTGAATGAACATCAGCGCCCCCACTTAAATAATTAATACTATTTAAATCCTCAAACACAGTAAATTGGCCATTCGTGTTTTCCTCCTCTACCACCTGACACTCCAGAAATAAGACAACAAAGGATGCTAAACATGGGGGAAAAGTGACAGTGACATGAGCAGACCAGAGATAGCAACAATTTTTTTGAAGATGAAAAACTGATAAAGTAGGGCTTCCTGACAGCCACAAAGATGGGCACAGCCTGAACTCCCACAGCAGGGGTATTTTGTAAAAGTGACCGAACATGCCCAGTTCAGCAGCAACAAGGTGAGGCATGGTGCTGACAGCAGGATAGCTGGGTCAAAGCCTGCCCACAGAATCGTTGGACCCCCATTTGTCCTACATCTGCCCATCTCTGCACAGTCTGAGGGGAGGACATCAGGCAGTGCATTTACCCAGGGCTAAAAACGGGGAACAAACAGTAAGAGTCTGTATAAAAACTGGGGTGCCCAGTTTGGCAGAAGCAATGCTCAGAATTAGTATATCCTCTTGATTAGGGGCCAGGCTGGTTAGAGCTGCTTCTTGCTTGACAGCCTTAGTGGTCAACAGAAAGAACAGACCAGAGCTCCAATATTAGGTGCCAACGTACAGCCTTTCCATTTCTAACACTGGGATTAGGAATTGGGACTTTCAGCTATGCTGGAAGACATTTCCAGAACCACAGGACTCAAGAATGCAAATCTGAAAAGCTGTGAAGAAGCTATCTTTCCCCTATTGTGCTTCTTGGAGCCCTGGGGTTCGGAGCTGCACCAGCCATAGGCATAGGTGGGGGGCAGGGCTTAATCTGGGACCCACTCTTTTAAAAGGTCTGGCTTCTGGCCCTTTCCTAGCTGTTCCCTTCCTCACAGGACAGAAGACCCTGAAGGGAAGGGGATGGGCCACGCAGAGCCTAACTCCTCTCCCAACTCCTAGAACATGCTCCAGGAACTCGGGACCCCTGAAAACCCTACCCATACAGCTCCAGGCCCACCTCCACAGACTGGGAGGGGCCTCTTCCCTAGATCTGGCCTCCCTGGGGGAACTCTCCAACCACTTTTGTACCCCTGGGCTCAGGAGTGGTCAAAGGCTGCTATTTCTAGAATGAATATGGACAGAGACTGAGCTTGGAGGTTGGTGCATCCAAACCTGCAGTACCGCTCTCTGTATGGGATGGAGCCAGGGATGGAAAGAAAAGGTATCTAGAGGTCACAGTCCCTGGCCAGTTATATTTTGGCACTGAATTCTAAGGAGTCGAGGAATCAAATTCAAACCTAGCCTTCCAGTTTATCTGAAAGTAAATTTGTTAAAATTGGGCAGTAGAACTAATTTAGATTATCAATTGGTTGGCCTGATTTATCACTTTTCAATATTCAGACATACGGGCAGTCATGCCTTCATAGGTACTCTTGCCCTGGGCCCCACTGATGTTAGGGGTGTGCCTAGTTCACAGCAGGGACCTCAGCAAGAGGGAAGGCCAGGTAGGTTCACTGCATGGCCTGCTCCCAGTCTGAAGAGTTATTCCTGTCTGCGGGGATTCCCCAAAGGAAACAATTTTAAAAGATGCTGTTAAAAACAAACAAAAATTTTAAACACTGTTTTCATGTATAACTATTCCATATTTGGCCCCCTGACTTTCCCTAAAATTACCTTATTTAATTTTCCCAAAAAGTCCATGACGTGGGCACGGATAAGTGAACTGAGATCCTCAGATAAGAACTTGTCTTGAGTCATATTGTTGTTGGTAAAATGAGGCAGAGAACTATTCTGAAACCATACCAAAGACAATCATCTTTTTTATATTGCTTAACAAAAACTGGCCAACTTGTGATGAAAGAAGCCTCTCAAATTCATCACAAAAATGTGAATATGGAACTATTTAATAAAAACAAAGGCTCCACATAAACGTGCTCTCGTATAGTCCTCATATCCATCCTATGAGGAAAAGGTTATATAAACTGCCCAAGAATACATAGCTGGTAATTGGCAGAGCTGGGACTTAAACTTTGGACTGGATCACCCCAGAGCCCCACTTCCCTCTGCTAGTTTTGTTGGTAGAAAACAGAACTCAAAAGAGACTTTAACAGTTGACTCAGCACACTACATGCAAGGGGCCATTTAACTCTGACCAACACCCTCTGCAGCTCTCCACAGGGAACAAACACGTAGTATTCTTGGGACGCAGTGAGCAGGGTTTGTATTAGGTCTGGAATTCTCTAATCTGAGTTTTGAAGGGAAGAACTGCTTAAATCTACAGGTACCATTTCAGAAAACTGAGTGGAAAAGTGCGATGTGATGCAAACAGCGTGGAGCTGGAACCCCGGGACACCTGGGTTCATGCTGTAGCTCTGACTACATGCATGGCCCGGGGCCAGGCTGGGTTTGCACAGGGCAGTAAGCTCCATCTATAGCAGGCAGCTGCTTTTAGCTCCGGCCCAGAGCCATCATGAGGCGTACATGTTTATGCTGGTCTTACCAGACCTTCTGCTTTTTGCAAGATAAGCAAGAAACTCAGATTGTTATGAAACATCTCTCAATTTTTAAATGTCAGTAATGAATTCACTAAAAACCAAAACTAAACTAAAACAAAAAGAAAGAAAATCTCGGTGCAGTTCAGTTAATAAAACATCAGGTGACTCAACTCATGCTGGAGGGGACACTTTTCATGCTGCCCCCGCACCACCATTCTGCTTTTCCATTCTAACATCAAATAAAGCTTTCTGTTATTTTTCATGAACCTGATCAAATGTTCTGCCTAATCCTCACACATCACCTACTTCCTGTGTTACCATCCCTGAAGCAGATGTGGAGGAGTCAGCTTGGAACATTCCCCCCCAGAAACATCAGACTCCGGCTTCTAGGGCTTCATGGCCCAGTCATAGAGCCTTTTGCTGTCTCTCATGGTGTACCTTAAGAACAGAAACCACAGAAGAACAGCTGGTTCAAGTGACCGTCTCACCTCTCACTGGACTCAAGGATGGACTCTCAGGCTCCTTACCCTGTTAGAACAGGACTTCCCTCTTAGGATTCTGCGATCATTAAATTAATTACCACCTGAAAAGTGCTTGGAACAGTACAGAATGCATGATTAGCTTTTCTTTTTACCATTTTATTAGGGAAGTAAAGCCTTATACCTACCTTTAATTCAAAATAATTACCAGGAGTCAGGAACATGGAACTCCCATTATGGACCTCTACCCAAACCTAGAGCACAAAAGTCAGAAACAGGAAAGTGCTGGGCAGAGGAACCCAGCAAAGCTGTGGTTCGGCCATCTGAATCATCTTCTCTCCTGCCTCCAATGGACTCAGAAATAAAGTTCAGCTTTAATGACTACGTTGTGTGTAATAAAGCACCAGTTTCACCACTCCTGGGACACTGCGTTGGCGATACAATCCTTCCCCGCCCCCACCACCACCTCCAGAGATAATGAAAGTGAAGAATCTAATCTGAACTCGCTGGGAGAATGGCAGGAAGGCCAAGGTAACTCTGGCACCTGGAGAACCTTCCCTATAAAACAAGGACACTGGTTATACCAGTTCCATGGGGTAAAGGTGTAAGGTATCAGCGTGGGGCATTTACAGATTTAAAATGCATGGTTCTCCACACCTATGCCAGACCAGTAGCTTTAATATCCTAAGGGCTGTTCAAGCTTCCCGTTTCTCAAATGGCTTTGGAGACACACTCTGGTTAGCTGGAAAATTCATTCAGAATACTGAGAAGGGAGGTGCGGAAAGGTACTGTGGCTCTTCACACTAACTATTTCCATTGTGTTATGGGGCAGTGCTCTGAATGTGAGGAAACCTTCACTAGGGTTCTGAAGGAACCGACTCCCACTGCAGAGTTTCATTACAGTTGGAAGGAAAG